GAAAACTTTCTTCAGTAATGCTGGTGTAATTGCTGCCATTTCACCACGGATATTCTCCTTGAGCTGATCGTTGTTTTTCGGATTATTACTGTAGACTTTGTTCTTGAGGTATCCCCACAAAAAAAGTCAGGAGGCGTCACGTCTGGACTACGTGGGGGCCATGGGATATCACCTCTTTTCGAAATCAGTCTGCCAGGGAACATCTGTTTCACAACCGCCATGGAGTCATTTGATGTGTGACAGGTAGCTCCGTCTTGTTGAAACCAAGTCCTAGAATTCACTATTCTTGAATTTTCAAGCTCTGGAGCCAAAAAACCTTCCAACATCGCAACATAGCGTTCGGTATTAACAGTGACGTTTTGCCCCCGCGCATTTTCAAAGAAAAACGGTCCAATTATTCCTCTACCAGAGATTGCTGCCCATACTGTCACTTTAGGACTATGCAGTGGTTTCTGGTGCTTGAGTTTGGGATTCTCACTGTTCCAGTAACGACAATTTTGACGGTTTACGAACCCATTGATATGGAAGTGGGCCTCATCTGAGAAAAGGATATTGTCAAAATTGGAAAATCGATTAAGCATTTCATTAGCAAATGCGAGCCTTGCTCCGAAGTCAGACTCTTTCAATTCTTGTGTTAACTGCAGCTTGTAAGGATGCAGTTTAAGATCCAAGTTTAAAATTCGTTGCAAACTTCGTCGCGATAAGTGTAAGACAGACGATCTCTTACGAGTAGACATTTGTGGATCTCCTCGTACAGACTGCATAACTCTCTCAATATTGTCGTCGGTCCTAGATGTTCTTGGACAACCTTTTGCTTGTGGTTTAAACGTTGAACCAGTCTCTTCAAAACGCTGTACCCATATTTTAATTAAATTAGCACTCGGCGCTTTACTAATTTGCCGTAGTCCATATTCAGAACAATATAAACGCCTAGTAACGATGTATGAACGAGAGTTCTCGTAAAATGCGCGCACGCCGAAATGCGCGACGCTTCCCGTCGAAGTGACTCATAGTGACTAAAACTCCATGAGCCCGCCTACCCAACGATGCAGGCTCCCCCCGCCCGCGCACTTTCTACCCCGCGAAAAAAGATGATGCAATATGCACGTTCTATTGCGCCACCCGTTATTTGTAGGTTCACTAATAGAGTAGTTTATCCCCGCCTTTATATAGATTACGATACCGTCATTTTGATTATCCACCCTGTGAGTATAATGAGAATTGTAACCAGTTATAGTAGGAACGTTAGATATTTTTGAGCACCAGCATTCTGTTAAGACAATAATGTCGCAATGTACATTTATTGAGACCAAAAAAGCCTGTAGTTCGTCAAAGTTCTTATTAATGCTACGTATATTTAGTTGCATAACTGAAAACGGGTGACTAACAGCCAAGACATATTCGAGACATTCATCGGTTGAGCACTGAATAGATTTCATTATGTTGAGCGTTTCAAGTTCTGATGAAATTTTACATAAATCGTTAGCCATAATCTAATAAACAAATATTGCGTTTAGAATATTTTATTAGACAGAAATTGAAACACTCAATATTTAATGAGATATGTACTAAGAAGTAGGTTGAATTATAAAAGAACTTCTTAAAGACCAAAATCTTAACACAAGTTATTAGAATTTAACCTATATTACTGCTCGCCCACAACTGCCAAACTAACGCAGCTCTCTTTTCTATGCCTCGTCTCAGTTCAGCAGCTGGATGTAGTTTTCCACAATTTCTTCCTCAGGAATCATCCTGAGGAAGAAATTGTGAAAAACTATGAATATATTCTTCTGTATTATCCTCAAGATTAATACCTACCCTTGATGCACATGTTGTGTAAAACGCAACGCATTTATAATTTGGGCTGCCATATTCAGATTATAATGAAGCACCCTATGGCCTAATAAGCACCGCCATCTGTTTTTAATACACCAATTGTAGGGGAGAGAGGGCCGTTGCGAACAGGGACAGTTATAAATTATTCATTTTATGAACGCATCCTTTATCTTTCCCAACCTTCATAACCTTTTTAATACTGGTAACACCGAACTACACATCTGGCAATTCCAAACTAACGTCATTGTCTATCATTTTACAAAAATTTTGCAGGTTAAGTACTTTACGGAGACGAAAATAAACATTTTTTTGCTTGTAAGCAAAGTATTATTTTCAAGTTGTGATTGTTTTAAGATGTTGCATATACTATAAACTCAGTATTTACAAATATATCATCATTACACAAGAGTTACTTTTTCGTCATTTTTTTTTATTTATGAAGGTTGTTATTGGGGCAGATTTGAACACTATCACCAGGGCACTTTTGAATAACATTTTAAGGGCCCCATGCACTAAAATAAGATATGTGTACTTATTTTATGAAGATATAGGTAAGTGTTTTTTTTTATTCATTTTAGCCACAATGGTAAGAAATTATAAAAAGAAAAGGACGTGAACGAAGAAGATGCCCAACGAGCTGTTTTGCATGTTGTCAACGACGGCATAACGCTGAGGACCGCTGCTGCTATATATAACACAAAACCAACCACTTTATTTTATAGAGTCAAAAAATATAAAGATAATATAACTCGAAAAATAGAAAACTATAGCAGCAAACACACTGTGCATCAGTTTTCGCAAACGATGAGGAGCGTATGCTGGCAAGTTACTTTCTAAAAATGTCTAAAATGAATTATGGTCTTACGTATTCACAAGGGTGAGAATTGGCATATCAATAAGCAAAAGCTTTCAAAAAGTGTCCCGAGAAATGGATGAATAATAAGATGGCGGGTATTGAATGGATAAAAAGCTTTATGAAAAGGCACTCAGTATTATCTTTGCGAAAACCTGAAAATACCAGACTTTCTCGCTCCACAAGCTTTAATAAACACAATGTTATGTTGTTTGTCAATAATTACGCTGTGACGCTGTAATAAGTGCTGTGACGTGGAAATTGTACACCAGACCGCATCTATAATTTAGATGAAACAAATATAATGACAGTTGTACAAGCACCCAATGTCATTGCTAGAACAGGACAAAAGCAAGTTGGACAAGGCGTTTCTGCAGAAAGAGGTCAGCTGATAACTATGTGTGCTATTGTAAATGCTTTTGGGAATACCATTAACCCAGTTTTTTATTTTTCAAGAGCTAGAAGATATCATGACTTATTTGAAGTTTTGTTCTACAAAAAAGTTATTGTGAGAAATAAATGAGAGTGTACTATGATACTATTAGATAAAAATGACATAAATATACTTTGGATTATATTCTAATGGTTTCCATTTAATTTTGGACACATTTGAACAAAATTGAGCTTAAAAAAAGCTCAATTGTGTTACTTTACCAAATGAAAATCAATAAATATCATTTTTTGTATGTAGTATAAAAGATATGGGATCTAACACTAAAATAAAATAAATCATGATGAATACCCGACGAGAAATATAATATTTTATTTAAAAAGTGTTCCCCCTCCACTGTATTACGGGCCGAGCAGTGTAACTTGGTATAATATTCTTCTAACGAGCCCACAGCAGCATCTAATATTGGTGTCATCATTTACTCCTTTGTGCATATCCAGAATCACCTAAAAATGTTAATCATTACATATTTTTACAAACTAAGAATGCATAATATTTGACTTTATTCATAATAATACTAACCTAGTAAAAAAAACATCTTCATTATTACTAGTTAAATCAATTTAATGTTGTTTCACAGGACTTTGATTTCAAACAAAACTATCATGAGATGCTCCTCCAATGGATGCATCAATTGACAGTATTTTTAAATCTGCATCACATATCTATAAATATAAATAAAAAGATAGAACTAAATTATCCTCTAAATTGTTATTTAGTTATTAAAAATTTAATCAAATTAACTGTTTACAACCATAACATTTCTAGAGTGGAAATGTTTTGCGATTAAAAAAATCTTTCCTCATGTTCCCTAATTGTTGGTTTAATTATCGCCACATGAGTGCCATCAATACATTATTAATACTGATGGGATCCGGTATTTTTATAAAACCTGAAACAAAGTATTATTTAATATTATTGCCACATGAGTGCCATCAATACACCCTAATACTGATGGGATCCGGTATTTTTCATAAAACCTGAAACAAAGTATTGTTTAATATTATTAAAGTAAAGCTATTTATTACATACGAATTCAAAATACTTTTATTATAGTTGAGTTGACACTCAAGTGCTTAAGTCCACTACAGTCATTATTAAATGTTTTTGGTAAAACTGATTTTGCGCGCGAAAATAAAGATTTCAGTTCAGATCAAATCAAACAAAGTCTTCAAACCAACCAATCTTACTCATTGAAATAAGGCTCAAAATATTACTTTTCTTTTAAATATTGCTTAAGTCACAATGTCAGTATAAATCAAACTCACCCAACTCCGCTTCGACCAATGACTGGCCGCCATTGTTTTCAAAATCTCGTGGAGTTCGTAACGGATGCTTACATTTTATATTATATTATGGCAACAAAAATAAGTGTTGTGAAACCAGAATTAGCTAAAAAGAAGCCACAGGAGAAACCCCATCAGGAAAACGTGGAAGAGACCGTCGAAAGTTCAGCCGTTAGAGAGCCATTATTGCAGAAGCAAAATAAAAAGGTGAATATATTTGGATCCAAGCCTAAACATCTCTAAATTATACAAAATGTATGAGGACCAGTCGATGCCGGTGTAGGTATTAGTGGTAGTAACTACTTGTCTCGTGTATGAGGAGTAAATAAAAAAGTCCAACTCACTGTTATCACAATGTATTTGTTCAGCACACGAGAAATAAACAAAAGCTACGGTAGGTAGAAGATACAGGCACAGATAAATAATAATAATCTAATATAATCTTAATAATAATAAATAAATAAATGAGGGTTGATTGTTTTCTTAAGAATATGGCACCAATCATACTTACTTAAATTATAGATATTCAAAAATCTCTTTTACCTTTTGATTCCACTACAAACTTTATCCCCATCTATATGAATGGATCATCTATTTTGATCCATTGATTTTGCTGATTTGGTAAACTTTTGGAGATAGTATGTAGCATCTTAACCCGAAGTTCCTTATTGGCATTTGTATAATTTACAATGAAATCCTGGTTTTTCTTTAAATAGATAATTAATAGATTCAGATCTTTATTCAGCACTTTTTCGATAGGTTTGGGCTTGCCAAGTGCTTTTATGAATTCTCCAAGTAATTGCCCTTCATTGTTAGAACCTACAAAGCCAATACTCTCATCAGTAGCAAAGTTCAGAGTTCCCATTGTTGATTTATATATGGATCCTGATACAAGAACAAGACTGGCACCAACTATTGGGTCTTGAGAGTATCGAGAGTCTGTTGATGGAGGTCCTCTGGTTGATTTAAGAGATGAAGTAAGGTGATTTAAGACGAGTAGTTTCTTATCAACCTCACTCATATAATTTGTCATACTGTTAGCTGTATTATTCCAAGATCTTGATATGTGATCTAAAGATTGTTTAAAGGCATCATATTGAGCCATGGAATTAGCTGCCACTGTCACTAAATCTGTGGCAGTTGTTGCTATGTCTGACAGGGCTGCCCTGGCGTTGCGAGCTATCGCTGCAGAATATGAGATTACAGCAATCTTAATTGAGGCATGTAAAGTTTTATAACCATCCGTCATGTCAACTAAAATTCCATCCATCTCCAGTGATTTGGATTAGATTTCTATATTTGGATAAGAGACTTCTTCTTGTATCATGAACCACATCACAAAGGTCCTCCAAAACATCTATTATCTTCTGATCCAATGGATCCTCAATCTGAGACCAGTAATTTTTCAAGAGTGCGAGTAATTCGTGCTCTCTATGTTTGGACGGATCGTATTCAGAGGATGTGGAGGGAATGTTAGTTATAGGAGACTGGCCAGTTAATACATCTGATGTTTCAGCTAGATCGTGGGGTGTTACTCCTAAATCAGATAAATTTATTTTGGAGGTTCCTGGGCATGGAGGACAAGGTTTCTTATTAGGCATGATTATGACTGGAAAATGAAAATAAAACCCGCGTTGAGTAATGATGGTACTGTTTAGAAGCACAGATTCCTCAATAGCCTGTGGAGTGATGAGAACTTTTAAGTATTGTTTTTTACTCGGTGACTAAAAGCTTTTTTCAGAAAAGTATTTAATACCTCCTTCAATATTGGGTTCGGTTCTCCACGCCAAGACGTGTGTTCGGATTGCTTGCAGCTGTTAGAAAAGCTAAAAATACAGCAAAGTGAAACCGAAAAACAGAAATTGCGTACGCTGTATAGGATACACAAAATGCGAGCAAAATGCTTTTTCGAGAAATTGAAGGATAATAACCCGGAAAACCTTATTTTGTCTTTTGAGTGTCACAAGATTTTACCTTTGCCAAAAGTAGCTGACCAATCAGCTTATTACTCTCGGCAGTTATGACTTCACGATTGTTGAGGGAAACTCTCACGCTAACCTCACCAAAAACAATGTTTATGCTTATGTGGACAGAAGACATGGCATCCAAAGGCGCTAATGAAATTTCATCATGTTTATAACATTGCCTGAATCATTTAAATCTTGATGGCAAAAAGCGGATAAGGCTTGTGGCTGACGGTTGCGGCGGCCAAAACAAAAATTCTATTCTTGGGATGGTTGCTAAATGATTGTATGGTACACGATCTAGCTTAACAAGTGGAGATTGTCTTTCCTGTCACTGGGCATTGCTTATTCCACCAGATCGGGTATTTTCTTTCACCGAAAAAATATAAGACGGCTAGAAACTATATGCAATCCCTGAGGAACGTATGTACGAGGAACGTCTGAACGTATATTGGTATCATGGCTAGGGAATGCAATCTCGTTCTCGCGAGATCTCGGCCTTTTTTTAGCCAGATTGATCTCGGACGAAAAAAGGGCTAAATCTAGCGAGCATAAAAATGTCTTATTCGATGCGCGGCTTGATACGGGCGTTGTTGCGATCCTAATTCCTGGTTTGATCCTCGGAATGCAAGACCTCTACTTGCTAAGAACTTGATAGCGACGACAAGTCGGTTTAGGAAATCGTGCCAATACTGCATTTCTTTGTTAAATTGATTTAATATTTGATCATCAATTCGGCCTACTGTGATTTTACGTTTGCTATATATAATTAAGCACTCTCTCTGTGTTCATGGCTATTATCCTCGTGTTCCTTAACTCGTCTAACGCCATTTTTCCAGTCATCGGATCCGGTACGACTAAATTGGCTATTTTTGTTGAAAATAACCTACATACAAAACAATAAACTGGTCCGCTTGAAGGTGAATAACGTAACCATTCTCTATCTACAGTTTCGCCATTTTTTAGGTTCGTTGTAAAACAGGGATTTTTGTAAACGTCGACTTTTTTTACCATTGGCCATTAGACTCTTTGTAAGTTCGAACTGATTTCTTGAAATCTAAATCTTGATTTCGACAAAAACTTGAACCTTTTCTTATGCAGTATGATATAACGTCCTCGTCAACCTTCCACAGACTTGGATCTGATGAAACGTAAACGTTGACATTATTTTCTGTACAGTCATCTGAATCTAAAACATAATAAAAAATATAAAATTACAGTTTATCATAAAAAGAAAATTTCAAATAAATAATACTATGTTTGTTAACAGTTAGTCAGTTAATGCATGCAATATTTAACATACCTATAATTAGTAAATAAACAATAATAGAAATTAAGGTACGTTCATTGCAGATTTTATTAGAAACCAAACAATTCAATGACATTTATTAAAATAATATTACCTGATTTAGTGTTCAATCTCATTATTTTCTAAATTTGACAGTTTTGGTATCAGTAATCCTGAAGGATCGATGGGCTCCGTATTCGCTGTTGATAAAAAATACAATACGAGTATATATATCTGTCCCGAATCCTCAACGGTAAAGTGCAGTAAACATACTTTAAACAATCACATAGGAGCAAGTGATACAATATATAATAAAATAATTACTTTGTTCAATGTTTTGAACGATACAACTATTTGAACTCGAAGTAGACGGAGTACTATGAACAGCTTGAGGCTTTTTATTTAAATTTTCTGCACCTGACGCTCTGGCTATTAGTGAGGTTGAAGGATCGACGGACTCGTTATTCGTTGCTCCTAAATTAAAAAATGATGTAATATACATATAACAATAACTGTTCCGAAGTCTTAATGCAGTAAACATACTCTAAATAGCATACGAGGAAGCTAAACAGAATATAATAAAATAAAACCGTTTAGTAGTAAAAAAGTTTAAGAACATTTTCGTATAAACATTGATATACCTAATGCTATATCACATAAAGAATTTTCTTCAGCAACCACTAAAAATTGACTTACCTTCTTTAATGATTTGTACGTCAAAAATATTTAAATTAGAAGTACTAGGAACAGCTTGAGTCTCTTTATTCACAACCGTACAAAAGTCTGATATCTTTTGTAGCTTGGATATTTCTTTTTCCTTTTCTTCAACTTTTTTACGCTTATGCGCCCCACTTAGATATACACGTTTCATTTTGAGTTTTCACACCATGAACTATCGCTTAAAACAAAGATAAACGGTACGTCACAAATTCAGTCAGTCAGTGCATTCAGTCGCAAGCAAAAGTAATGACAGGCGAAAGCTTGTTTTATAAACGCTATACTCTGAGCTTGTTTAAACACGTATATGGAGCTTCCGCGCCGCATATAGCAGTCCAGTCAGTCCAGAGCAGAGCACGCGGTAAATTTGAAAGTATTGAAAGACACTGGACAAACTTTACACGAAGATAATTTTAAACCGAACTTGAAATAATCCTAAACAGATATTTTTTACACAAATAAAATCTACAGATTTATTGCGCAGAATTTTTTTATCTACACTATAGCAAATATCTTACTCTATGTAAAATCATTTCACAAATAATTTAGGTTATTTTTAAATAAAATTTGTGTCTGGTGTCATTTGAAATAGTTGCTTATGTGCATAATTAAGTGATTATGATCTAAGCTTCTATAAAAGCGACTTACAACTATAGTGTTACGCTATAAGACTTAAGGTTTTGATATTCGAATTTATTCTACATTTATTTGGGGCCCCGTCGATACTTGGGCCTAGGGCCTCATACCTTGTAAAGACGGCACTGGCGTCCCCTCTCTTATACGTCGCTCAAGTTCAGTGCCAGCGGTGTCCTTATTCCGGTCATGGTGGTCATAACATCCTGTGCCTGAGCGTTTGCCTCCCAGGACAACAAGACATTTTTGAGGTCCTTTTTTTCATTTTTGAAATAGAGTTTCATTAATGCCTGGCTTTAAGCTTGCTCTTATGATCATTTTGTTCAATGATAAAGGGGTCGGAAGCACAAATACATTTCTGAGCCACTTGTAGGCTTTGGGGATTGCTAATATCATTTCTATATGAAATTTCGCCTCGAACCATGATTTTCTTGCGTTCTGTCCTTTCTATAATAATCCGCTCCGTTTTACTTATCTGGAAATGTAATGTCTGAGTGCCTTTTAGCAAATCTCTGCACGCAGTCTTCCAATCGCAAATAGGTACTTCAGTTACTAAACGACGAATGGTAGCATTAGATGCGGTGATTAGAGAATGCAACGCTCGCGAGATTGGGGCTGATGGCGCGTTTCTAAATCATAAATATGTAAGGGGCCAATATACCTGCAGGGGCCACATTACCACCTTCTCCTCTATAATCTATGTGTTAATGTTTAGTGTTTTATGTGTAAAACGTATTAAACTCCAACGAAAGTAGTGGGATCCCTACACCGCCCCCCTCTTTTTTATAATAGTTAAGTATCTAGACTTATATCTTAATAATATAAATGAGGGTTGATTGTTTTCTTAAGAATATGGCACCAATCATACTTACTTAAATTATAGATATTCAAAAATCTCTTTTACCTTTTGATTCCACTACAAACTTTATCCCCATCTATATGAATGGATCATCTATTTTCATCCATTGATTTTGCTGATTTGGTAAACTTTTGGAGATAGTATGTAGCATCTTAACCCGAAGTTCCTTATTGGCATTTGTATAATTTACAATGAAATCCTGGTTTTTCTTTAAATAGATAATTAATAGATTCAGATCTTTATTCAGCACTTTTTCGATAGGTTTGGGCTTGCCAAGTGCTTTTATGAATTCTCCAAGTAATTGCCCTTCATTGTTAGAACCTACAAAGCCAATACTCTCATCAGTAGCAAAGTTCAGAGTTCCCATTGTTGATTTATATATGGATCCTGATACAAGAACAAGACTGGCACCAACTATTGGGTCTGGAGAGTATCGAGAGTCTGTTGATGGAGGTCCTCTGGTTGATTTAAGAGATGAAGTAAGGTGATTTAAGACGAGTAGTTTCTTATCAACCTCACTCATATAATTTGTCATACTGTTAGCTGTATTATTCCAAGATCTTGATATGTGATCTAAAGATTGTTTAAAGGCATCATATTGAGCCATGGAATTAGCTGCCACTGTCACTAAATCTGTGGCAGTTGTTGCTATGTCTGACAGGGCTGCCCTGGCGTTGCGAGCTATCGCTGCAGAATATGAGATTACAGCAATCTTAATTGAGGCATGTAAAGTTTTATAACCATCCGTCATGTCAACTAAAATTCCATCCATTATCATGGATAGGTCATCTCCAGTGATTTGGATTAGATTTCTATATTTGGATAAGAGACTTCTTCTTGTATCATGAACCACATCACAAAGGTCCTCCAAAACATCTATTATCTTCTGATCCAATGGATCCTCAATCTGAGACCAGTAATTTTTCAAGAGTGCGAGTAATTCGTGCTCTCTATGTTTGGACGGATCGTATTCAGAGGATGTGGAGGGAATGTTAGTTATAGGAGACTGGCCAGTTAATACATCTGATGTTTCAGCTAGATCGTGGGGTGTTACTCCTAAATCAGATAAATTTATTTTGGAGGTTCCTGGGCATGGAGGACAAGGTTTCTTATTAGGCATGATTATGACTGGAAAATGAAAATAAAACCCGCGTTGAATAATGATGGTACTGTTTAGAAGCACAGATTCCTCAATAGCCTGTGGAGTGATGAGAACTTTTAAGTATTGTTTTTTACTCGGTGACTAAAAGCTTTTTTCAGAAAAGTATTTAATACCTCCTTCAATATTGGGTTCGGTTCTCCACGCCAAGACGTGTGTTCGGATTGCTTGCAGCTGTTAGAAAAGCTAAAAATACAGCAAAGTGAAACCGAAAAACAGAAATTGCGTACGCTGTATAGGATACACAAAATGCGAGCAAAATGCTTTTTCGAGAAATTGAAGGAAAATAACCCGGAAAACCTTATTTTGTCTTTTGAGTGTCACAAGATTTTACCTTTGCCAAAAGTAGCTGACCAATCAGCTTATTACTCTCGGCAGTTATGACTTCACGATTGTTGAGGGAAACTCTCACGCTAACCTCACCAAAAACAATGTTTATGCTTATGTGGACAGAAGACATGGCATCCAAAGGCGCTAATGAAATTTCATCATGTTTATAACATTGCCTGAATCATTTAAATCTTGATGGCAAAAAGCGGATAAGGCTTGTGGCTGACGGTTGCGGCGGCCAAAACAAAAATTCTATTCTTGGGATGGTTGCTAAATGATTGTATGGTACACGATCTAGCTTAACAAGTGGAGATTGTCTTTCCTGTCACTGGGCATTGCTTATTCCACCAGATCGGGTATTTTCTTTCACCGAAAAAATATAAGACGGCTAGAAACTATATGCAATCCCTGAGGAACGTATGTACGAGGAACGTCTGAACGTATATTGGTATCATGGCTAGGGAATGCAATCTCGTTCTCGCGAGATCTCGGCCTTTTTTTAGCCAGATTGATCTCGGACGAAAAAAGGGCTAAATCTAGCGAGCATAAAAATGTCTTATTCGATGCGCGGCTTGATACGGGCGTTGTTGCGATCCTAATTCCTGGTTTGATCCTCGGAATGCAAGACCTCTACTTGCTAAGAACTTGATAGCGACGACAAGTCGGTTTAGGAAATCGTGCCAATACTGCATTTCTTTGTTAAATTGATTTAATATTTGTACCGGCTCGTGTCGGTACTTGAAATTTGTTTATTAGGTTCTTGGTAGCCCGTGTGCTGAACTGATATTTGCGTCTTTTTAGGTGATAAATAAAACAAGTGTACTGTAGAAAGGTAAGTCGAAGTCTGTATTGCGAATGAAAAATTTGTACATTATTCGAGGAAAGTAGGGAGGTAGGGAACAATAATTTGACCAATGGGAACAATGCCGTATCACGTCATCCCCTCTTGGTCTGATTGGTGACGAAATATTATCCGTTTTCGAGGTTGGTTATATGCGTGAACATGCCCCCGGCCTTGAAAGCAGGCGCTTTCAAAATAAAGCGTGCAGCAGCCTCACTTCCCCTCGTGGTCATCATTGAAGAGAGGACAGATCTTGGTGAAGGCCCGACGTACAACGCCTGAAGCTGTCCTGATGTCTGCGACTCTTGAAATCCCATCCTTTCCTGGGATAGACCGAAGTACTCGACCCATTGACCATTTCAAAGGCGGAAGGTTGCTGTCCTTAATAAGGACAAGCGAGTTATCCTTCAACTCCGTTTTGTTCTCCGTCCACTTTGTTCGCACCTGCAACTCAGACACATATTCCTTGGACCAACGAGTCCAAAAATGTTGGCGAATTTGCTCCACCCTTTGATACCTCTTCAGTGTATGCTCAGGAATGTCGCTTACGTCGTCATAAACTGGCGCGGTCAGTGATCGACCAACCAGAAAATGAGCGGGAGTGAGGGGAGAAAGGTCTCGGGGGTCCGAAGAAAGCGGAGAAAGTGGTCGGGAAATTTAGAATTGCCTCTATTTGCGATAGCACTGTGCCAAACTCTTCAAAGGTAAGGTGTGCATTACCTACCACTCTGCGAAGATGGAACTTGCAAGATTTTACTCCTGCCTCCCACAAACCACCAAAATGAGGCGAATAAGGCGGAATGAATTTAAAATCAATTCGTTGACTAATCGCGTAATCTTTGATTTCCGAATTGCACCTACGTAAAAATTCAGAGAAATCGTTCATCAACCCTACAAAATTACGCCCATTGTCGGAATATATTTCTTTAGGTTTACCGCGCCGAGAAATAAAACGTTTAAGTGCCAATAGATATGCTTCACTAGTGAGATCACTGACGAGTTCCAAATGTATTGCACGCGTCACAAAGCATACAAACAAACAAATGTACGCTTTCGATGTTTTAGCCCCCCTACCCTTACGATTCAGTATGAAGACTGGCCCGCAGTAATCCACACCGCATTTTATGAATGGAAAAGCAGGAGTTATCCTTTCCTTCGGTAAATTACCCATTTGTGGAGTTAAAGTGTTACCTTTATTGCGTGTACATTTGACACAGGCGTTCACTACGCGCCTAGACAGACTCCTGCCCCCTAGAGGCCACCAGGTTTCGCGTATATGGTAAAGCAATGCCTGAGGTCCAGCGTGAAGGAGCCGTAAATGCTCATGACGGAACAACAATTCAGTAAAATGATGTGTACTAGAGAGTAATATAGGATGCATTTTATCATAACCAAATTCATTTGAATTACTCAACCGCCCACCTACGCGAATAATTTTACTACTATCTAAATATAAATTTAATCGTTTTAAATTATTTTTACCCTTAATTTGTGCGTTATTAGTCAAAAGGTTGCACTCGTTAGGAAAGCTTTCCATTTGGCACCACCGAGTTAAAATCATCTGAGACTCGCTCAACTCTTCAACAGTAAGAACACCAAACTGTTTATTATTTTTATTGCGGATATTGTGTATAAAACGTAACATATATGCGACGGCACGCTTCATACGATTAAATTGTGAAAAACGGTGAAACGAGAAAGGAGTTAAATCGCGCGCATGAGTCACGAAAGAACTAATAGCTGATTTAACCTCGGGGAGTTCTCCATCTGTTTCTATGTTCGTATAATAATCGTCCAATGAAAAACTTGGACTTCTCAAAAATTCAGGGCCTTCCCACCATAACCTACAGGAAGACAGCTCTTCCAAGCAGACGCCCCGCGAAACAAGGTCAGCAGGATTATCTTTGCCACTCACGTGGCGCCAAAGTACATCTTGTGTGAGCTCATGAATCTCCACCGTTCTGTTTTGAACAAACGTTTTAAGTTTGTTTGGAGACATGCGCAACCAGCCTAACACGACGGTTGAGTCAGTCCAAAATACTGTGTTTCTGAACTCACAACGTACAGAACTGCGCACCTTCTCGAGTACCCTAGCACCCAGCAGTGCACCGCAAAGTTCCAGTCTCGGTATGCTTAGTAGTTTCAATGGAGCGACGCGAGACTTAGAAAACAACAATCTTACGGTAATTGTATTATCTATATTTATAGTGCGCACATAAATGCAAGCGCCGTACGCCGTCTGCGATGCGTCACTAAAAATATGCAACTCCGCATACATAGGTTCGCTGCCTATAACGTGCCGAGGAATGTTTTTTGTTTTGAGCGCCTGTAGAGAGATAACAAACCGGTTCCATGTTCGCGCGACGCCAGATGGAACCGTGTCATCCCAACCAATTTTAAGAAGCCATAATTGTTGTAACAACACCTTCGCGAGAATAATCGTAGGGCTTAGTAAGCCCAGAGGGTCGAAAATTTGTGAAATCGTAGACAAAATAACCCTTTTAGTTACCGACGCACTCTTATTATGACACTGTGTATTAAAATAAAATACGTCGCCAACATTGTTCCAACCTAGTCCCAACGTTTTTGAGCTGATATTTTCGTTGGATTTAATTTCCTTTGAATATTCGGTTTGGTCATTATTGTATGGAAAATTGTAAACCCATTTTCGAAGTGAAAAACAACCAGACTGTAACGTATTTTTTATATCCGTGCATAGCTGTATTAATATCGATTTGTCGTTATTTCCAGACAAAAAATCGTCGACATATATGTCCTCCAAAATAGCTCGTTGAACCTCAGGGTTGGAAGACTCAACTCCTAACTGTTTTAAGCATCTCACACTAAGGAATGGCGCGGACGCGGTACCATATGTAACGGTGTTTAATTGATAAATCCGCAGAGGTTTCGATGGATCATCACGCCACAAAATCATTTGAAACCGGCGCTGATCTTCGGCTACTAAACAATTTCGAAACATTTTTTCAACGTCAGCGCAGGCAACAAACTTGTGCTGTCTAAAGCGGAGAAGAATGGATATTAAGTCACCTTGTATAGGAGGCCGACAAGTTGTAGGTTGTTGAGAGACATGCCGGAAGACGATGCTGCGCTTGCGTCGAAGACAACGCGCAGCTTAGTTGTAGTGCTATTTTCTCTAAATACGCCGTGATGTGGCATGAAGTAGCACGGATGACTATAAGAGTCTACCGGATTCATATGACCTAAGTACAGGTATTCCTGCATAAATTGCGTATATAGTAATGTATAGTCAGGAGAACGTTGTAAACGCTTCTCCAATGCAAGGAAGCGTCGTTCAGCTTGCGTATATGATTCGCCTAGAAGATCAGGTGACTCCTTAAATGGAATGCGTACACAGAACCTTCCTTCACTATTACGCGTAGTAGTACGAAGAAAATGATCTTCACATGCACGCTCTTCCTGAGTCCGCGTATCCCTGACCTTAGGAAGCTCTTCAACCTCCCAAAACAAGCGAAGTTGCGAATCTAAAGAACTACTAAAGTTACAATGAACGCGCCTCTCATTTTGCGTGTTATTACTAACTAAGCCAGAGATAATCCAGCCCAGCCTAGTATTTTGTAGGTAAGGACCGTTGGACAGTCTCATTCTGCCTTCCAACAATAAGTCCCAAAACCTATCTGCGCCTATTAAAATGTCTATATTTTTTAATTCCAAAAACTGTGGATCCGCAAGACTAACATTGTTTGGAATCAAGAATTGCGCGCTTAATGGGCATAAGGCCGGCAATATAGACGTTATCTGTGATAATACAAAACAAGTAATGCGTGTTTTGAACGTATTATCAAATCGCGATTTAATTTCGACGTCACAAGTTTCCGAACATTGTATCACCGAGTCGCCTACCCCCTTAATTACATAAGTAGAATTTATCGTGGGAATGTTGATCAACCTACAAAAGGATTTTGTTATGAAACACCGTTGACTGCCACTATCAAGTAGTGCGTGTGCCCGATGATAAACACCGTGATCGTCAGGCACTTCCACGACCGCTGTCGATAATAGAACTGAGTGCATATCTGTAGAATTATTATGCATTTGTGCGTTGCTTACTTGAATAGGGCGTGAATCCGCGGCGGTTAAGGCAGCGGGGCCGGAGGGTGTCATCGTTGCGCCCACAACTTCACTCCTCGCTAGGCCGTCAGTCGTATTATTGGAATGCAATGTAACTAGACTCTCGCCGCTTTCATTATGAATTAATGAATTATGTTTGCGATTACATTTACGACATGGCCCAAACACGCATTTATTAGGCGTGTGACCCGAACGTAAACAATTCTCACATAATTTGTGCTCGCGAATTAAATTTAGCTTTGAATTTAAGTCACTATCAATGAATTTCTGACAAGAATAAAGTTGGTGATTCGCGTTACATTTTAAGCACGTCCTTTTGTAGCGAGACGAACGACTATCGTTGGACTTATGTGTGGACACGTTGCAGTGTGATGTGTTGTGTGAATAGTGTTTTTTATTTTCAATTTGTATTTGTGGTTTATTGTGTGACGAATGCAACGTTTCCAACACATCCGCTCTGTCCTTAAGGAAGCTAATCAATTCATGTACTTTGATTATGCGTTTAGAATCATTCCCGCTCGATGTTAGTGTGCATTTGCGCGTCTCCCATTCGCGTTCCGTTGTCCTATCTAACTTTAAAACGATTATATAATTGATAAGCGTATCCCACGAGTCGGTAGGTTCGCCAAGTAATTTTAATGCGCGCAAGTTTTTTAATATAACGTCAATAAGCTTTCTAATGCTAGACGACGACTCTTTTGTTAATGCGTTTATATTAAACAAAGCCTTTACGTGATTGTGCACTAAAAGTCTATTATTATTATATCTATTTAGCAATAATTCCCATGCGACTTGATAATTATCAGAAGAGAATTCTACAGAATTAATGACTAATTCGGCGGTGCCTTTTAGAGACGACTTTAAATAGTGGAACTTTTGTATGTTACTGATGCGTTTAGAGTTATGTACTAAGGATAAAAAAGTGTCTCCAAACTCGAGCCAGTGATCATAAGATCCGTCAAAAGTGGGCAGTGAAATGGTTGGCAGTTTAACCGACTGCGATTGTTCGCTACAGCAATAGTTGCTGGTACCGTCAGTGACCTCACCATCGGTCAGCATGGCTTCCGCGCGGGCTAAAAGGCTGTAGTATGAGGTTTCGAATGATTCTCTGTTATCTAATTGGTCAGGTATCTCACTATCGGAAACGATTTCTTCAATTTTGCTTTGAATTGCGTTAAATTCGTTACACAAACTAGTGACGCCTTTGATGCGTAATTTTAAGTCTATGCGATCTCGAGACGAAATTAAATTATCACTGTCTTCCAACGTATCCAAATAGTTGGAAAACTTGGTAAGCCTACCTTTTATGAAGCCGCGTTTTCTCACTAGGTCACGAAGTGCCGTAGGATCGGCACACCCAAGATTAGCATTATTGATATCTAACACAAGAGGAGATTTATCGCCTGACTTAGCACTTTCCGTCGTCATTTTGGTGGGTAGTAAGAACAGGAATACTTACAGTTGGAAGGCTTGAACGACGTGTAGCCGTAATATCACCAGCCACGTGACTAGATGATTTGAGCAGTTCGAGACTCCGATGCGGGAAATCTAACTGAAATCAGGTTGGGCACAGGTATCACAAAGAGAACTAGGAGGTGATTGGGGAAGAGAGGATGGTTGGTCTCACCAGATTGCGTATAACTTGCGATGAACAGTCAATCCAGCTCTCGTCCAATGCGCGCTTAGCCTCCAGTTGCCTTCGCTCTAGATGTAGATAAGCGTTTTGGTTCAGCAGCAGCAGGTACAACCAGGAGATCCACAGGATGCTGATTCGTATGATTCCGGCTCGAAGGACCACATGTACCGGCTCGTGTCGGTACTTGAAATTTGTTTATTAGGGTTCTTGGTAGCCCGTGTGCTGAACTGATATTTGCGTCTTTTTAGGTGATAAATAAAACAAGTGTACTGTAGAAAGGTAAGTCGAAGTCTGTATTGCGAATGAAAAATTTGTACATTATTCGAGGAAAGTAGGGAGGTAGGGAACAATAATTTGACCAATGGGAACAATGCCGTATCACGTCATCCCCTCTTGGTCTGATTGGTGACGAAATATTATCCGTTTTCGAGGTTGGTTATATGCGTGAACATATTTGATCATCAATTCGGCCTACTGTGATTTTACGTTTGCTATATATAATTAAGCACTCTCTCTGTGTTCATGGCTATTATCCTCGTGTTCCTTAACTCGTCTAACGCCATTTTTCCAGTCATCGGATCCGGTACGACTAAATTGGCTATTTTTGTTGAAAATAACCTACATACAAAACAATAAACTGGTCCGCTTGAAGGTGAATAACGTAACCATTCTCTATCTACAGTTTCGCCATTTTTTAGGTTCGTTGTAAAACAGGGATTTTTGTAAACGTCGACTTTTTTTACCATTGGCCATTAGACTCTTTGTAAGTTCGAACTGATTTCTTGAAATCTAAATCTTGATTTCGACAAAAACTTGAACCTTTTCTTATGCAGTATGATATAACGTCCTCGTCAACCTTCCACAGACTTGGATCTGATGAAACGTAAACGTTGACATTATTTTCTGTACAGTCATCTGAATCTAAAACATAATAAAAAATATAAAATTACAGTTTATCATAAAAAGAAAATTTCAAATAAATAATACTATGTTTGTTAACAGTTAGTCAGTTAATGCATGCAATATTTAACATACCTATTATTAGTAAATAAACAATAATAGAAATTAAGGTACGTTCATTGCAGATTTTATTTGAAACCAAACAATTCAATGACATTTATTAAAATAATATTACCTGATTTAGAGTGTTCAATCTCATTATTTTCTAAATTTGACAGTTTTGGTATCAGTAATCCTGAAGGATCGATGGGCTCCGTATTCGCTGTTGATAAAAAATACAATACGAGTATATATATCTGTCCCGAATCCTCAACGGTAAAGTGCAGTAAACATACTTTAAACAATCACATAGGAGCAAGTGATACAATATATAATAAAATAATTACTTTGTTCAATGTTTTGAACGATACAACTATTTGAACTCGAAGTAGACGGAGTACTATGAACAGCTTGAGGCTTTTTATTTAAATTTTCTGCACCTGACGCTCTGGCTATTAGTGAGGTTGAAGGATCGACGGACTCGTTATTCGTTGCTCCTAAATTAAAAAATGATGTAATATACATATAACAATAACTGTTCCGAAGTCTTAATGCAGTAAACATACTCTAAATAGCATACGAGGAAGCTAAACAGAATATAATAAAATAAAACCGTTTAGTAGTAAAAAAGTTTAAGAACATTTTCGTATAAACATTGATATACCTAATGCTATATCACATAAAGAATTTTCTTCAGCAACCACTAAAAATTGACTTACCTTCTTTAATGATTTGTACGTCAAAAATATTTAAATTAGAAGTACTAGGAACAGCTTGAGTCTCTTTATTCACAACCGTACAAAAGTCTGATATCTTTTGTAGCTTGGATATTTCTTTTTCCTTTTCTTCAACTTTTTTACGCTTATGCGCCCCACTTAGATATACACGTTTCATTTTGAGTTTTCACACCATGAACTATCGCTTAAAACAAAGATAAACGGTACGTCACAAATTCAGTCAGTCAGTGCATTCAGTCGCAAGCAAAAGTAATGACAGGCGAAAGCTTGTTTTATAAACGCTATACTCTGAGCTTGTTTAAACACGTATATGGAGCTTCCGCGCCGCATATAGCAGTCCAGTCAGTCCAGAGCAGAGCACGCGGTAAATTTGAAAGTATTGAAAGACACTGGACAAACTTTACACGAAGATAATTTTAAACCGAACTTGAAATAATCCTAAACAGATATTTTTTACACAAATAAAATCTACAGATTTATTGCGCAGAATTTTTTTATCTACACTATAGCAAATATCTTACTCTATGTAAAATCATTTCACAAATAATTTAGGTTATTTTTAAATAAAATTTGTGTCTGGTGTCATTTGAAATAGTTGCTTATGTGCATAATTAAGTGATTATGATCTAAGCTTCTATAAAAGCGACTTACAACTATAGTGTTACGCTATAAGACTTAAGGTTTTGATATTCGAATTTATTCTACATTTATTTGGGGCCCCGTCGATACTTGGGCCTAGGGCCTCATACCTTGTAAAGACGGCACTGGCGTCCCCTCTCTTATACGTCGCTCAAGTTCAGTGCCAGCGGTGTCCTTATTCCGGTCATGGTGGTCATAACATCCTGTGCCTGAGCGTTTGCCTCCCAGGACAACAAGACATTTTTGAGGTCCTTTTTTTCATTTTTCAAATAGAGTTTCATTAATGCCTGGCTTTAAGCTTGCTCTTATGATCATTTTGTTCAATGATAAAGGGGTCGGAAGCACAAATACATTTCTGAGCCACTTGTAGGCTTTGGGGATTGCTAATATCATTTCTATATGAAATTTCGCCTCGAACCATGATTTTCTTGCGTTCTGTCCTTTCTATAATAATCCGCTCCGTTTTACTTATCTGGAAATGTAATGTCTGAGTGCCTTTTAGCAAATCTCTGCACGCAGTCTTCCAATCGCAAATAGGTACTTCAGTTACTAAACGACGAATGGTAGCATTAGATGCGGTGATTAGAGAATGCAACGCTCGCGAGATTGGGGCTGATGGCGCGTTTCTAAATCATAAATATGTAAGGGGGCCAATATACCTGCAGGGGCCACATTACCACCTTCTCCTCTATAATCTATGTGTTAATGTTTAGTGTTTTATGTGTAAAACGTATTAAACTCCAACGAAAGTAGTGGGATCCCTACACCGCCCCCCTCTTTTTTATAATAGTTAAGTATCTAGACTTATATCTTAATAATATAAATGAGGGTTGATTGTTTTCTTAAGAATATGGCACCAATCATACTTACTTAAATTATAGATATTCAAAAATCTCTTTTACCTTTTGATTCCACTACAAACTTTATCCCCATCTATATGAATGGATCATCTATTTTCATCCATTGATTTTGCTGATTTGGTAGACTTTTGGAGATAGTAATAATAATAATAATAATAATGATGACTTAAAGTCAAGAGTGCCACCCACTAATTTCGGAACATGCTTCTGAAGGGACACAAGGAAAGGAGCTATAAGCATGGACTCTCTTCGGAAGTCCTCATACATATTGTATCCTCTAGGCATAATTTCGTCAGGATTCTGGAGAATATCATTAACCCAGATAGCACCTGGGATAGCGCAATTTTCATGAAATCTGCGCCTGACACCAGCTGAACTTTCAGCATTGGCTAGAAACTCGACGGTTCTCCGTAGGGTACTGAGAAGAACATTCTCAGGTCTAGGGGTAACGATGTTGTGCCGGTCGACTGGGTCTGCTGCGACGGCAGGAACATACACTTTGTCTTCATACTTCAAATAGCCTATAGCATTGATAATTCTCCTGATTGGCTCAGGTACAATTGTTACACTTTGTGCAACCCTAAGCATATCACTGGTGACTCCTGGATGTTTTATGTGATCTGTAACTCTTGGGATCACTGGTAGATCAGACTTGATCGCTTCGAGCTTCGCCTCAAGTAGTCCGAGAAAAACTCGGTACATAGCGTAGATACTTGGGACCCTTATGTTCTCGTGATATGATATCGATATGAAGGTAAGGTGACATATCCCAAGACCGATCCCACGTGTGGTGATCGATAAAGTAATCGCTTTGAGCGTTTGTTGCTCACTAAGGCGAGCTAGTGCATCCTCCTCGTTGGTGCCGACGAACATCTTCTTGCGAATTTCATCTTGAAGGCTAGACATCTCAACAGCGCCTTTCGTTCTTCGCATGTTCGTAACTCTCCCTCGTTGGTAGAGTTGGCGACCTCTGGACTGACGTCCACGTCCTCTATGCTATATCACATAAAGAATTTTCTTCAGCAACCACTAAAAATTGACTTACCTTCTTTAATGATTTGTACGTCAAAAATATTTAAATTAGAAGTACTAGGAACAGCTTGAGTCTCTTTATTCACAACCGTACAAAAGTCTGATATCTTTTGTAGCTTGGATATTTCTTTTTCCTTTTCTTCAACTTTTTTACGCTTATGCGCCCCACTTAGATATACACGTTTCATTTTGAGTTTTCACACCATGAACTATCGCTTAAAACAAAGATAAACGGTACGTCACAAATTCAGTCAGTCAGTGCATTCAGTCGCAAGCAAAAGTAATGACAGGCGAAAGCTTGTTTTATAAACGCTATACTCTGAGCTTGTTTAAACACGTATATGGAGCTTCCGCGCCGCATATAGCAGTCCAGTCAGTCCAGAGCAGAGCACGCGGTAAATTTGAAAGTATTGAAAGACACTGGACAAACTTTACACGAAGATAATTTTAAACCGAACTTGAAATAATCCTAAACAGATATTTTTTACACAAATAAAATCTACAGATTTATTGCGCAGAATTTTTTTATCTACACTATAGCAAATATCTTACTCTATGTAAAATCATTTCACAAATAATTTAGGTTATTTTTAAATAAAATTTGTGTCTGGTGTCATTTGAAATAGTTGCTTATGTGCATAATTAAGTGATTATGATCTAAGCTTCTATAAAAGCGACTTACAACTATAGTGTTACGCTATAAGACTTAAGGTTTTGATATTCGAATTTATTCTACATTTATTTGGGGCCCCGTCGATACTTGGGCCTAGGGCCTCATACCTTGTAAAGACGGCACTGGCGTCCCCTCTCTTATACGTCGCTCAAGTTCAGTGCCAGCGGTGTCCTTATTCCGGTCATGGTGGTCATAACATCCTGTGCCTGAGCGTTTGCCTCCCAGGACAACAAGACATTTTTGAGGTCCTTTTTTTCATTTTTCAAATAGAGTTTCATTAATGCCTGGCTTTAAGCTTGCTCTTATGATCATTTTGTTCAATGATAAAGGGGTCGGAAGCACAAATACATTTCTGAGCCACTTGTAGGCTTTGGGGATTGCTAATATCATTTCTATATGAAATTTCGCCTCGAACCATGATTTTCTTGCGTTCTGTCCTTTCTATAATAATCCGCTCCGTTTTACTTATCTGGAAATGTAATGTCTGAGTGCCTTTTAGCAAATCTCTGCACGCAGTCTTCCAATCGCAAATAGGTACTTCAGTTACTAAACGACGAATGGTAGCATTAGATGCGGTGATTAGAGAATGCAACGCTCGCGAGATTGGGGCTGATGGCGCGTTTCTAAATCATAAATATGTAAGGGGGCCAATATACCTGCAGGGGCCACATTACCACCTTCTCCTCTATAATCTATGTGTTAATGTTTAGTGTTTTATGTGTAAAACGTATTAAACTCCAACGAAAGTAGTGGGATCCCTACACCGCCCCCCTCTTTTTTATAATAGTTAAGTATCTAGACTTATATCTTAATAATATAAATGAGGGTTGATTGTTTTCTTAAGAATATGGCACCAATCATACTTACTTAAATTATAGATATTCAAAAATCTCTTTTACCTTTTGATTCCACTACAAACTTTATCCCCATCTATATGAATGGATCATCTATTTTCATCCATTGATTTTGCTGATTTGGTAGACTTTTGGAGATAGTAATAATAATAATAATAATAATGATGACTTAAAGTCAAGAGTGCCACCCACTAATTTCGGAACATGCTTCTGAAGGGACACAAGGAAAGGAGCTATAAGCATGGACTCTCTTCGGAAGTCCTCATACATATTGTATCCTCTAGGCATAATTTCGTCAGGATTCTGGAGAATATCATTAACCCAGATAGCACCTGGGATAGCGCAATTTTCATGAAATCTGCGCCTGACACCAGCTGAACTTTCAGCATTGGCTAGAAACTCGACGGTTCTCCGTAGGGTACTGAGAAGAACATTCTCAGGTCTAGGGGTAACGATGTTGTGCCGGTCGACTGGGTCTGCTGCGACGGCAGGAACATACACTTTGTCTTCATACTTCAAATAGCCTATAGCATTGATAATTCTCCTGATTGGCTCAGGTACAATTGTTACACTTTGTGCAACCCTAAGCATATCACTGGTGACTCCTGGATGTTTTATGTGATCTGTAACTCTTGGGATCACTGGTAGATCAGACTTGATCGCTTCGAGCTTCGCCTCAAGTAGTCCGAGAAAAACTCGGTACATAGCGTAGATACTTGGGACCCTTATGTTCTCGTGATATGATATCGATATGAAGGTAAGGTGACATATCCCAAGACCGATCCCACGTGTGGTGATCGATAAAGTAATCGCTTTGAGCGTTTGTTGCTCACTAAGGCGAGCTAGTGCATCCTCCTCGTTGGTGCCGACGAACATCTTCTTGCGAATTTCATCTTGAAGGCTAGACATCTCAACAGCGCCTTTCGTTCTTCGCATGTTCGTAACTCTCCCTCGTTGGTAGAGTTGGCGACCTCTGGACTGACGTCCACGTCCTCTATGCTATATCACATAAAGAATTTTCTTCAGCAACCACTAAAAATTGACTTACCTTCTTTAATGATTTGTACGTCAAAAATATTTAAATTAGAAGTACTAGGAACAGCTTGAGTCTCTTTATTCACAACCGTACAAAAGTCTGATATCTTTTGTAGCTTGGATATTTCTTTTTCCTTTTCTTCAACTTTTTTACGCTTATGCGCCCCACTTAGATATACACGTTTCATTTTGAGTTTTCACACCATGAACTATCGCTTAAAACAAAGATAAACGGTACGTCACAAATTCAGTCAGTCAGTGCATTCAGTCGCAAGCAAAAGTAATGACAGGCGAAAGCTTGTTTTATAAACGCTATACTCTGAGCTTGTTTAAACACGTATATGGAGCTTCCGCGCCGCATATAGCAGTCCAGTCAGTCCAGAGCAGAGCACGCGGTAAATTTGAAAGTATTGAAAGACACTGGACAAACTTTACACGAAGATAATTTTAAACCGAACTTGAAATAATCCTAAACAGATATTTTTTACACAAATAAAATCTACAGATTTATTGCGCAGAATTTTTTTATCTACACTATAGCAAATATCTTACTCTATGTAAAATCATTTCACAAATAATTTAGGTTATTTTTAAATAAAATTTGTGTCTGGTGTCATTTGAAATAGTTGCTTATGTGCATAATTAAGTGATTATGATCTAAGCTTCTATAAAAGCGACTTACAACTATAGTGTTACGCTATAAGACTTAAGGTTTTGATATTCGAATTTATTCTACATTTATTTGGGGCCCCGTCGATACTTGGGCCTAGGGCCTCATACCTTGTAAAGACGGCACTGGCGTCCCCTCTCTTATACGTCGCTCAAGTTCAGTGCCAGCGGTGTCCTTATTCCGGTCATGGTGGTCATAACATCCTGTGCCTGAGCGTTTGCCTCCCAGGACAACAAGACATTTTTGAGGTCCTTTTTTTCATTTTTCAAATAGAGTTTCATTAATGCCTGGCTTTAAGCTTGCTCTTATGATCATTTTGTTCAATGATAAAGGGGTCGGAAGCACAAATACATTTCTGAGCCACTTGTAGGCTTTGGGGATTGCTAATATCATTTCTATATGAAATTTCGCCTCGAACCATGATTTTCTTGCGTTCTGTCCTTTCTATAATAATCCGCTCCGTTTTACTTATCTGGAAATGTAATGTCTGAGTGCCTTTTAGCAAATCTCTGCACGCAGTCTTCCAATCGCAAATAGGTACTTCAGTTACTAAACGACGAATGGTAGCATTAGATGCGGTGATTAGAGAATGCAACGCTCGCGAGATTGGGGCTAATGGCGCGTTTCTAAATCATAAATATGTAAGGGGGCCAATATACCTGCAGGGGCCACATTACCACCTTCTCCTCTATAATCTATGTGTTAATGTTTAGTGTTTTATGTGTAAAACGTATTAAACTCCAACGAAAGTAGTGGGATCCCTACACCGCCCCCCTCTTTTTTATAATAGTTAAGTATCTAGACTTATATCTTAATAATATAAATGAGGGTTGATGGTTTTCTTAAGAATATGGCACCAATCATACTTACTTAAATTATAGATATTCAAAAATCTCTTTTACCTTTTGATTCCACTACAAACTTTATCCCCATCTATATGAATGGATCATCTATTTTCATCCATTGATTTTGCTGATTTGGTAAACTTTTGGAGATAGTATGTAGCATCTTAACCCGAAGTTCCTTATTGGCATTTGTATAATTTACAATGAAATCCTGGTTTTTCTTTAAATAGATAATTAATAGATTCAGATCTTTATTCAGCACTTTTTCGATAGGTTTGGGCTTGCCAAGTGCTTTTATGAATTCTCCAAGTAATTGCCCTTCATTGTTAGAACCTACAAAGCCAATACTCTCATCAGTAGCAAAGTTCAGAGTTCCCATTGTTGATTTATATATGGATCCTGATACAAGAACAAGACTGGCACCAACTATTGGGTCTGGAGAGTATCGAGAGTCTGTTGATGGAGGTCCTCTGGTTGATTTAAGAGATGAAGTAAGGTGATTTAAGACGAGTAGTTTCTTATCAACCTCACTCATATAATTTGTCATACTGTTAGCTGTATTATTCCAAGATCTTGATATGTGATCTAAAGATTGTTTAAAGGCATCATATTGAGCCATGGAATTAGCTGCCACTGTCACTAAATCTGTGGCAGTTGTTGCTATGTCTGACAGGGCTGCCCTGGCGTTGCGAGCTATCGCTGCAGAATATGAGATTACAGCAATCTTAATTGAGGCATGTAAAGTTTTATAACCATCCGTCATGTCAACTAAAATTCCATCCATTATCATAGATAGGTCATCTCCAGTGATTTGGATTAGATTTCTATATTTGGATAAGAGACTTCTTCTTGTATCATGAACCACATCACAAAGGTCCTCCAAAACATCTATTATCTTCTGATCCAATGGATCCTCAATCTGAGACCAGTAATTTTTCAAGAGTGCGAGTAATTCGTGCTCTCTATGTTTGGACGGATCGTATTCAGAGGATGTGGAGGGAATGTTAGTTATAGGAGACTGGCCAGTTAATACATCTGATGTTTCAGCTAGATCGTGGGGTGTTACTCCTAAATCAGATAAATTTATTTTGGAGGTTCCTGGGCATGGAGGACAAGGTTTCTTATTAGGCATGATTATGAAAGAGCATTTTTTGGCGATTATACCTTTATTAATAAGTCGTATTGAGCAAAAATGCACTTATCATTGTCTGATCTATGATCACAGAGTTGATTTCTTCAGTGATTCTTTGCTTCAAAACATTCAGATTGGGCGGCAATGGATTGTAAACTTTACTTTTTAGGTAGCCCCATAGGAAAAAATCAGCAGGCGTTAAATCAGGGCTCCTCGGTGGCCAGTTGATGTCTCCTCGCCGACTTATCACTCTTCCAGGGAATAAATCGTGAAGAGCCGCTAATGAGTCATTTGTAACCTAAGAAGTGGCTCCATCTTGCTGGAAAAAGGTGTTGCGGTTGTAGCCATACTGGTTTTGCATTTCTGTAGCCAAAAAAGTCCGGATCATATGGCAATATCGATCAGAATTATCGGTCTGAGTTCGACATCCGTCATCCTCAAAAAAATAAGGACCGAACATTCCTTGACTTGATATGGCAGCCCAAACAACAACTTTTGGCGAGTGCAAGGGCTTCTGGTGCAGTTCTAGCGGATTGTCGGAAGCCCAGTATCTGCAATTTTGTTTATTCACGTGACCGTTTATGTGAAAATTCGATTCGTCGGAGAACCAGATGTTATTTAAACTCCTAAAACGGTTTTTCATTGTCCTGCAGAATTCGACTCGTTTATCAGGATCATCAGGCTTCATTTCTTGAACAATAACAATTTTATAGGGGTGAAAATGTAAGTCTTTCGAAATAATGCGATGAACCGTAGATTTTTTCAAATTAAGAGAAGCTGCGCGTAATCTCAACGACTGTCGTGGGTCGTCCATAACAGACTGTCGAACGCGGTCGACGTTCATGCTCGTTCTTGATGTCCTTTTGCGCCCAGACGATTTGTTCGGCATTGTATTCCCAGTCTCTTCAAACTTGCACACCCAATGCTTAATTAAATTGGCACTTGGCACATGATTTAAGCTTGTTAAATTAAAATGTGTCCTGTAGAGACGACGAACAATAGTGTAGGCATCGTTGTTTTTATAAAACGCCCGCACGCAAAACGCGCGCTGCGGTCCCGTGAAACGATTCATGGCTACTAAACGTAACAAGCCGGCCAAGCGTTTGAGACCACTCCACTCCCCCTGCTACCTGCGGTTGGCGCGTATTGGTCAATTCAAAAACGAAAAACATTCTGAGACACCCTTTATAAGTGAAAAACAGACCTGTAGGTACCCCTTTTCCAAAGAAAAGTGATGATCGCACTAGCGAATTATTAGAAATAGTTCATAGCGATGTTTGTGGCCCCATCAATCATCAGTCCTATGGCGGTAAAAAATATTTTGTTACGTTTATTGATGATAAATCCCGATGGTGTGAAGTATATTTTATAGCAAATAAAAGTGATGTCCTAAGTGCATTTAAAAACTACATAGCCTATGCAGAGAATTTCACCGGGAAGAAAATAAAGACTCTTCAGTCTGATAACGGACGAGAATACTTAAATAATGAGTTTGATGATTTATTAAACAAAGCTGGAATCAGAAGAAGATTAACAGCACCATATACACCCCAACAGAACGGGATTGCTGACAGAAAGATCGTTGTGACTCGTGATGTGAAATTTATGAATGAGACAGCGTTTAGACATGAATACAAAGAAATACTTGACAAAGAAAAAGACACCGATGAAGAACACATGAGAATTGATTTCCACGAGCCTATTGAAAAGAACGAACCAAGGTAGATAGCGGCCAATCGCATAGAAACAGGAACTCAACTGTTTCGTGGGAAAAATTGATAGAACCTTCTAAAAGAGGAAGAGGAAGGCCTCGCCTAGTTCGTACTGGTCAGGCGGGAAGACCGCGGAAAGAGTATCATACACTGAAAGAGAATACTTCAAATAGTGAAAGTGAATTCGATGAACCAACCGACCAGATAAGTGCAGGGATAGCGATGATAGAACCAATGACGTGGAAAGATATAGAGAAGAGAAGTGACTTAAATCTATGGAAATCTGCTCTAGAAAACGAGTATTTGTCACAGATAAAAAACGATACCTGGGAGATTGTACCACGACCTAAAGACCGAAAGGTTATTGGAAGTAGATTTATTTTAGTACCAAAAGTACTGGCAAGAAAGTACGTCTAGTCGCCAAGGGATGTTCACAGCGGCCAGGGGAGGACTTTCATGAAACCTCGTCCCCTATTGTAAGATCGTCATCCATAAGAGTCATAGCTGCTTTGTCCGCAGAGTTTGTAGAAATCCATCAAATGGACGTAGTAACAGCTTACCTGAATGGAACACTAGAAGAAGAAGTTTTTATGGAAATTCCAGATCAGCTGAGCGATGTTCTAAAGAGAGTACTTGCTAAAAGAAAGATTTGTTCGCAGAAGGCAATAATAACAGAAGAGAACTTACTTCAGACAGCTAAACGCTGGAACAAGGGTCTTGATGAAAGTGTGGATAGTGTGTGTTTATTAAAAAAGTCATTGTATGGCTTACGCCAATCAGGATTACAGTGGTATAAAAGGTTATCCAAGCTGTTGATTGATATTAGTTTTGAAGCATTGCTACAGGATCCTTGTGTGTTTGTTGCGCTAAAAGGTGAGCGAATGATGTTAATAGGCATATATGTTGATGATATTATACTTGCAACGAATGATAATGCATGGATGGAGAGTATAAAAGGACAATTAGCAAGTGTATTTGAAATGAAAGATATGGGAAATATTTCAAATTGTTTAGGAATTGAATTTAGCCGTGATAATGAATATAGAGTGTACTTAAAACAAAAATTATATGTAGATAAGATTTTAGAACGTTTTGGCATGAGTGAATGTAAACCTGCTGTCACACCTATAGATGTAAATGTAAAGTTAGAGAAACCTGAGTGTATTAGTCATGATATAATGAATCAGTATCCGTATCAGAGTTTGATTGGTGCCTTGATGCTTTTGGCCGTATGTACAAGACCAGACATCACGTATGCTGTCAACTATTTAAGTCAATTCAATACAAATTACAACATTGAACATTGGAAGGCTGCTAAGCGTGTGCTACGATATTTGAAAGGTACGTCAGATTATGGACTAGTGTATGAAAGGACAGGTTTGCCTCTTTTTGGTGTGGTTGATGCAGATTGGGGAGGGAATACAGTAGATCGTAGATCCTATTCCGGTTTTGCATTTATTTTGGCAGGTGCCCCAATCAGCTGGGAAGCCCGAAAGCAACGAACTGTTGCGTTGTCAAGCACTGAAGCCTAATACATGGCTATATCCGAAGCTACTAAAGAAGCCATGTATTTACGTGATATATTAAGTAGCATGGGGATTGAGTGTGACTGTTTGATGTTATTCAATGACAACCAAGGTGCGATTAAGCTTGCTGAAAGTAAGAACTTTCATTCACGAACCAAACATATTGATGTGCGGAACCACTTCATTCGCGATAAGTGCGAACAAGGGCTAATTGATCTTAGGTATTTGTGTAGTGATCAAATGCCTGCTGATGTTCTGACAAAGGCCTTGAGAGGAACAAACCATCATGAAAGTTTGCGTAGTTTGGGTATGTTGGATGAATGTAAGTAAATTTCGAAGAAATGCTCACGACTTCGAGGGGAGGTGTTATGGTATAACGAAGAGCGTGAGTGACTAGTGCCATCTATCCGTCATCTGATGTTAATAGTCCGTTCATATTGGTTGCGCCGCCACCGTTAACACGAGTATATTGTTGTCTTGAATTATTAGCAAATTAAAGTAATTAAAACCAGTAAAACCATTTATTAACCTGTAATCCTTCACAAACTACAACACAGCAAAATTTCAATAGAGGTAATTAAACGAGATAATTTTACACATTATTTTGTAAACGAAAACCCACTTCCATGGCAAAATAATTATATTCATTAAAAAATACATACACAACTTACAACGAGCTTTTGGCTGTCCATGTTACACCAGAATCATCATGAACATTTATTGATTGACAAATTCATTAATACAATTATATGTTGTTTACTTACCTAAGCTCTTTTTTTGTTCAACGGTTTGCTCCTGTTGTCCAAACAAATCTACAACTTCCTCCCAACATTTCTTTTTCAAATCTCTATCGGAATAATTTGATGATTCGTCACTGGCGGCCGGACTGGCGGCCGAGTGAGTGAGACACCATACAGCGCTATAGTAATCAGTGGTGGCGCGACCAGCGTGTCGGCGCAACCAGTAACATTCTGTGCACGCGTCCGAGCTGGTCGCGCCGCCAAATTGGTTGCGCAACCAAACGGACACCAGGTGAGTAACTCTCTATAGAGCTGTATACATTTTGTTGGTAGCGGCGACTGGTTGCGCCGCCGTGGTGTCCCGGTGAAATATAGCCCTTAGAAAGAAGCTGTAAGTCTGGTTACTTTAAATCCAGAAACTTAAGTTACTGCATTTTTTTTTGCTGCGGTTACGTTACTCCAGCAGATCGTGAATAACTATCAAGCGGTTGGCGAAATACATTTAAGAAATTGGGCACATTTATACAACATATGGGACTAATTATGACTATCATTCAACCCCTTAAAGCAAACAACATTTTGCTGGAGTAACGCACAAGTCTTTACCGGGAAGAACCATGTTATGTAGATTTAGTCTGGTTTCGTACTACGTTCGATCAGAATCATGTGCGTTGCCATAACTGTAAAGTTCAAATTTTATTATTTGAGTTTAACAGATTTTCAGTGTATGACTTGGTGTAGGGAATTGTGTATACTCGCAGTAAGTAAAAATTTGTGCATCCAACTATTGGGGACTAATTCATCAGAAACTGTTTCTGTTGTTAATGTACTCTTTGTAATTAACGCGCTATGGGAAAATTAACCTTCACTGGACCAGTGTTTTATACGCAGTCTTATTCCATGAGATTCTAAAGGAAATGTGTAACAAAACCTATTCCAATAATTAGCGCAATAATTATTCGTATGTACAATTTTATGTCATTACACTTAATAGTGTAATGACATATAATTGTAATTCGTTAATAATTAACTTCATCAACTCCTTCTACGTCTAATCAGTCCAGAATGCCCTCCTTGCCGAAATTTTTGCACCTACCGCATCATATTTCTATATTACCTGAAGGTCCAGGTCTACCAGTCAGTAGAGAATGCCTCATGGCATTAAGTCCGCCTTTGTACAAAATGTGCATTAAGTTTTAAATAAATAAATAAACTTTCAAGAAGCGGCGCTCCTGGCCACCTATGGGGTATCTCTCTGGTGGTTGGTTGCATTGAGGCGCTGGATTTACGGGTGACACTGTATAAGACGTATGCCCTCTTATTTCATGGGCAACGTCGTGGTCCACCCCCTGCGCCTCAATTGTCATAAACTCGTTTTTCGTACTAGTTCAGGCCCAGATGAAGTATTCGGGCCTGATCTCGACAAGCACTTTCGACAGCTTGCCTCGAAGCTGGTTGGTGCTGCGTCTGCCCTTGGGCAACTTTTGCCCAATCTTGGTGGACTCAGCTTCGCCATAAAATGGCTGTTCACGGGTTTTGTCCAGTCAACGGCAGTAATGACACACATCAGAATTCGATCCGAACTCGTGAAAATACGTCCAAAGTAGTTGTAGAACTATTTCTGTGGTGGTCTAGATCCGAGTTCCGTCATCCGATTTCTTTCCGTTATCCGTAAATCCTTATTCCGGAGAAGATTATTGACTAGCCCACGATCGAAGTTAGTTGTAAGACAGTGGCAGGGGTATGGTTAGGCCGGTAGCCGGAGTTGGCGGGCCTCTTCATGTCGAAGTCATCTGCGGAGTCGTTCCCGTGTGTATTCATTGGAGGAGTAACTCACTTGTCGTGGCAAGCTGCTCCAATGCTTGAAAGCATTCGAAGACAATACCAGATATCATTGTGTCGCTGTCAGTATTTGGATGTTATGCTCTTTAATACCTCTTGATATGGCCGTTTATTCACGGGTTCGGATCGGACGCAGTGTGTAACCACACTTTGTCTATATTATTTAATTTCTTCGTTTATGTGACTTATAATAATTTAACGCTTGTATTTTTGTAGCATTATTATTACAAATATTTGTTTTGCCTGTGAGTATTCTGTTGACATTAGTGCACCAGCTGTTTATAATAATATTTGTCACACTATCCATTAGAAAATGTATTACTTCTGTTTCATGGCTTACACAAGAGACCTGCGAAAAATTACAAAATATACCTGAAATTTGTTTAATTATACTCTTTAGATGTTTTTGGTGTGGTTGCTCATTTAACTTTGTTTGAATTACTATACAAACCTCATCTACAAACTCGCATAATGCCTCCGATGGATAATTAAGTGATCTTCTCGTATAATCTCTTTCTAATATAGGCAACATGAGAGATAAATGATAGATAGTTCTCTCGGAATATAAGAGGGCTTCATAAGGAATATTGAGTTGTTTTTTTATTTTGCCAAACTGAATTCTTTTTAATGAAAACCTGTAAATTAAAAACGAAAAATGTCGCATTGTTTTAAATGCAAAGACGTTTACTTAGCTCTGAACAAACATAGTTTTCACACCTAAGTTTAATTCTAACCTCAATCATTTTTATTTTATTCCAATTATTGTATAACTGTACGAGGGGTGATCAATAAGTAATGATAATCAATATGAAACAGAACTATTAGATTAAAAAAAGTATTTTATTTTTCAACATAGTCTCCTTGCAAGTTAATACATTTAGTGTATCTTTTTTCTAAGCCCATGATTCCCTTAGAAAAAATTCTTTGTCTTGACCCTCCCAAAATGCCTCTACTGCGGCCATCACTTCACTATTGTCCTCAAATTTGTTGCCCCGGAGGTGTTCTTTGAGCCGAGGAAAGAGGTAGAAGTCACTGGGAGCTAGATCTGGCGAATAGGGAGGGTGTTCGAGCAGTTCGAACCCCGTTTCTTCAATGGCAGCCATTGCAACTGCGGCTTTGTGAGCCGGGGCGTTGTCTTGGTGAAACAGCACTCCAGCGCGAAGTTTACCGCGTCTTTTTGACTTAATAGCTTCTCGCAATCTTCTTATTTGGCCTGCGTAGTAAGAGCCTGTTATAGTGGCCCCCTTTTCCAAATATTCCACCATAATAATTCCTTCTGCATCCCAGAAAACAGACGCCATAACCTTTCCCGCTAAACTTGACACTTTGAATTTCTTCGGCGTTGGTGAGGAAGCTCGTTTTCAAGTCATTGATTGTTGTTTGGTTTCGGGATCAAAGTGGTGGATCCAGGTCTCGTCCATGGTCACAAAACGCTACAAAAAAAATTCTTTATCGGCCTGGAACTTTTGAAGATTCACCCTCGAAATGTCGACTCGTTTCTTTTTTTGCTCGTCGGTTAACATTCTCGGTACCCAACGCGCAGAGACCTTTTTCATATGCATTTTGTTGACAATGATTTTTTGAACGCTGCCATAGGAGATCCCTGTGACCTCAGCTACATGCCTTACGGTCACCCTTCGATCGGCCAACACGATATCTTCCACTTTTTTGACGTTTTCTCCAGTAAGGGACGTGGAAGGGCGTCCCTCGCGATGTTCATCTTCAGTGGAGGTTCTGCCCAGCTTAAATTCCTTTGCCCAGCGTGCGACTGTGGAATATGGAGGAGCAGACTCCCCCAATGTTTCCTCTAAGTCGCTGTGTATGTCTTTGGTAGACATTTTTTTCAGGCAGAGGTACTTGATGACAGCTCTTATTTCATTTTTCTCCATTTTGATGTTTTCTCTTCGACAGTTCGTATTCAAATGAATGTATCTCCCGGTAATGGTGTCCTATTTATACATTTTTTTGAAGCTGAAGTAGTGGATATATAAGCAAGCAGAAAAAAAAAATTGGGTTTTTGTGCGTTCTAGAAATACTCGATTATCATTACTTATTGATCACCCCTCGTAATTTATCAGGTTTCCAAATGATGTTGTTTTAAGAACTAAGTTTTAAATTTGTCAGACTTATAATATTAAATTTTTAATTCATTATGTCTCATTTCTTTCTTTCGTTGAATTGTACTTTATTTAATTATTTAATTTAAAATAACTAAAAAGGTAAATCATTTTTTTATAGTTAATGCTTTTATTTAAAAATAATGTTTAGCTTGAAGTTCCAATTTTAAGTTGATTTTTTATGTTCACATTTCCTCATGTTTATCAGTTGAGGTTATTCAGTTTATACTGCTGTACGTTCAGAATTCCTGCTAACCATGACTTTGCTACTTGTGCGCTAAAACATTTACACGGCTTTTAAATGTTTAATTGTTTAATTATTTATTTATTTCATGTTTTAAAAAATACTTTTGAATTAATTATTGCCTATGGTGATTTGTTGATAGATAAAACAAGTTTCGAAGTTATAAAGTCATCGAATTAACAATTTTAAAAAAGTAATTGTATCTGTTTCGTGTACTACTGCATATTTTTAATCTATATCAGTCAAACCGAGATGATACTGAGACTGAATTGTATTTTTTGTTAGCAGAATTCATTTTTTTAGTCAAATCATAATTCAGTCTCGATACAATCACATTTCGATCTCTGGTGTTTTAAAATACGAGAATTGGCCTTCTGGTATAAATTTCAGCTTGCAAGGTCTACCCGTTCCTGAAAAAATCGAAGGTGACACATGGTCAGACAGACGGACAAGAGAGTGATCTTATAAGGGTTCCTTTTTTACCTTTTGAGGTACGGAACCCTAAAAAACAATTGCCATGTTATCAAAATATCATGGTCAAAACTCTTGCAGTTTACAAATATGATTGTTGCTTACATTAAAGTTTAAAATACTTACTTATCTATTATATTGTATATCTACTATATACTTATAAATAAATATCTCATTGTAGCGGATACCCTCTGACTGAACACTTGGGCTGCATGTTTTACTTTCATTTTGGGTATTTTTTCTAGAACAACATGACTCTCGGTCAATTTATTTACTAGTCTAATGTCTTCTTACCCATGATCAGCATCCAGCAGCATGCAAATGCTCCCATTTAGCAGTTTTGACGACACCATTCTGAATAAATCTCAATTTTTTTGTGAGAAGATTATTTCTCAATCCTTTAGGGAGGTGTGGTGGGTCAAATACTGGGAATATCTTACTTCCATTATATTCAAAGGCTAAACTTTTGAACTCCTTGTCTTCCAATAAATATTTCCTTTTCGTGTCATTTATTAGGCTTTTTATGACACTCATATTTGTGGAAGATTGATCACACACAGTGGCAATGACCTTTAAGCCGGTGCTTTGTACAGCTTTTAGTATCTCTTGTATAAGTTTCTTTAATTGTGTACTTTTTGTAGCACTCTGGCAAAATGTAAAAGCAATGGGCTGCTTGTATTTCCCTTTCAGACTTTTGATCATAAACACGAGTGCATGGTCAGCAATCTTTTCGGTTTTCTGAGGCCCAAAATCCTCAAAATCAATTATTTCATCCACAGTTGTGTTGTAGTATAACCCGGGCCTTAATGCCACTTCATCAAATATGAGTGTGCATAATTTTTTTTCTAATGGTAATTTTTTTACAGCTTTTTTCAGATGTTCCATATCAATATCATTTATTCCAGGCTTAATGGTTATTTTGTTTAGGATTTTCTGAATTGTCCGTATTGAAGGCAATGCAAACAATCTTTGTAACAATTTATAGCCTTTTTGACTTTGCATATATTTTGTCAGGCACAAAATTTGTTCTTGGTTTGTAAATCTTGGGCCTCTTGGTGTGATATATGCCTTTTTTAGTTGCATATTGGTAAAAATGGCAGCAGGTTCGGGCAATTTTTCAACAGCTTTTAAAAAGGCTTTACTTTGAGATATTTGTGCAGCTTGTCGAACTTTTTGGTTACGATTCTTGCATTTTTCCCTCAACTTTAAAAGTTTGACCTTTAATTGTGCATTTAGTTTCACAAATTTATTCCTGGCAGCGTTAATGGGTTTAGTGCCTTAAAATCATATATATATAATTAGTTAGTATACAAAATTGATGATTCAATGACATCAAAATGGTAAGATCGACATTACTTTTATGTGGGCTAGTAACATAATTAATCTAATCATTTGAAGTACCTGCCTATCATTAAAAGTATAAACAACTACTACTTAATAAAAAAATGGCTATTTATTTTACATCTGTATGCACTTTTGTACATCGGCGGTCTTATTGCCCTGGGCATTCTCTACCTCTACCACCAACCTTTGGGTAGTGTAGAAATCCTATAAGCTAGGTACACCGAGGTTACAATTGTTGTCACTGATTATATATTATTATTGTTGTCTAAAACATTATATATTTTTCTCTATGACAAAATATACACATTCCTTACTCCCACTCAATAAACATTTTAATACCCTTGGAAAAAAAGGTAAAAACAAAATAGGTACTGACTTTTCCTGACTGAAGCATGTTCCAGGGGAATTGCCACAGGTGGATTCTCACATGGCACATTTGTGTTCGATGTAGGCCCTTTAAAAAAAATTGAATGCAATTAGTACTTTATATTTTGTGGAGTAGTATAATTATTAAAGATGATATCAGACGGTTTATTCTTCATTCATTTTTATATTTCATTCTTTACCTTCCACCCGGAATGAAATGTCTAACAACAAAATGAAACACGAGTGCCGAATGAATTCATTAGTAAATCGGCATTCGACAAAATTCATTCCACTCTGAATGAACAGTCTGGTTCAGACTGTTCATTCAGAGTGACAATTGAAATTGTTACGATTCAAAAGACAACATTCGATCGCATTCATCCATTTTCTCTCTAATCCTGTTGCAGACGAATATCATTTTCAATATTGTGGCAAAATGGTTTTCAAGTGGAACGATCAAAATACGCTGTTGTTTTCGGAAAACTTTTAAAATTATCAATGCCTTTGGAACCATAAACTCCCTGATTAACTAATTAAATTAATTCCCAGACGCACAACTTTAGTCGAAGACATATCGAAAGAAAAGAGCAGATGAATATTTTTCTCTGTGCTATTCCAATACCAAAAAAAAAAAGCTAATTGAGAACCTCTTTTATTGTTGTTGAAGTTGGTTAAAAATGATTGATATTGTCAATGGCCAACTCCTAATTCCTATGCGAGAGATCATTTTAGTTGCCATTTTTAACTTTGCATATATCTCTGGTAGCAAGATATCTCTGGTCCAAATTATCTGAAAACCAAAAACCAAAAATATTTAGTTTTGTAATAAATAAATACAGGTAATGATCGAAGGTCTAGTCAAAATTTTGATTTTTGACAAAATGGCGGCTGTTCAAAAAAAAAATTCAGTTTTTCATGAAAATTTTTCACTTCAAAGTGGCTTAAAAAATCGAAATTATTGTCCAAAACCTTATTCCTTCGATCATTACCTGAAAAATATATCTGAGTAAGTCGTGTGAAAATTTCAAACCGATTGGTTTAGCGGTTTTGGAGAAATTTTCCAAAAGAGATATTGAGGCAATACTAATAGGTACCTAATAAAATTAAAACTTAGAGCATCACCCATCGATCTTTGCTGTTTCTGAACGTCACTAGTGGCATGATGGTTATGTTATGTCAACATGACAGTACTGCCAAAAAAAGAAAAAAGTAAAGTATAGTATTGTTACAAGGTCAAGATATATTTTTATAAGTGATTAACTCGCGGGTAATGTGATATATGCTACAGCAAAATAGATCAAAGGTGTTATAAACAACACAGGATAATTTAAGTGACGCGTGAAAACAGAAAGTATGTGGTTGATAAGTACATAGAAGTGAAACATGCTGAAATAACGTAATTATCGGTTGGAATTGGCATTACTTTTGACGAGACGATGCCTTGGCGACAGCACTAGTCGACTTGGCCGCTGATACGCTCTTCGGGTACTTCGTCACTATGTCATTTAACTGATCCATGGATATCACCTTGTGTCTAGTTCCATCCGGTGCCAGCACAACGATAACCCCATCCTGCGTCCAACATGTTCTCATGCCGAAGTGCAGGCGCGCCTGAGCAAAGATTGCCTGCCTCCTCTTGGTCAGAAACTCCCTGATTGATATAGAGGAGCCCTTCAGTTTGGTCTTTGCTTTCCATACTGCAGCTTTTGTGCTCTCCTTGGAGAAACGCACAAGTATGGGACGGTGGCGTTCCTTATTGGGGTTGCCCAGTCTGTGACAGACTGTAATTGACTGTACTGTGGTGTCTGCAATAACCAGCCTGTTGCTTACAACCCCAAGAACTAATTCAAAGCAGTCTTCACTGATGGTCTCGGGAACTCCTGATATTATTAGAGCCTTGCGGCGATGCCTAGTTTCGATGCTGTCAACCATTGAAGAACATTCTGCAATTTGTCTCCGTAGCAACCCCAACATTGCGAATATGAGTTCCCTAAATGTGCGGAACTCCTCAGCTACTTTGGTGACAGTAGCTTTACAGGGCACACTGCCTTGGATCTGTGCTTCCAGCTCACCCATCCTTTTGGTAAAGCACTCCTCAAGGTTCCTCTGGGCCGCTTCAATGTCAGCTAATTGAGACATTTTATTATATTGTTGTTGTTGTATATACAGTGTTAAAATAAAATAGCTTCAAATATTGTGTTGATTACAAAATCCTGCAGTACACAGTGACAAGCTGGCAGGTGTTTAACCAGTTATTGAATGTCTGGATGCATCGAATGTATCACAAACACTAACACACCTGAATCACTGTATTTAACACTTAATAAACTAAAAAAAACTTGTAAGTATTTAATTTGTACTATTTAAATTACTTATTCATATAGAGCTGCAAGTCAACCTTTTCTACACCTACCCGAAAAAAAAAAAAAATTGTCCTTCTTAAAAAATCTTTTAACAGACCTCCACTGGGACTCAATTCGTTGAGTATGAGTCCCATCTTCAGCTATGAATGGGTTGTCACGATCCCGAGTGGTTGACTTTATTGTGTATGTAGCCATGTTCTGCCAAGCAATCATATGCTCTCCAAAAATCAGTGTGGATGGTGGTGTCAACTTCCACATTCTTCAATATAAGTGGCACCAAAATAATTATAATAAAATAATATATAATATTGAAGAATATTGTCACACTTCCAACCTCAGATCTTCAGATCCATTCTCAATCATACCGAGAACCCAATGGCCCTTAATATCGCGACCTATAACCAAAAAGATAATTTCTGAGTGGTTTAAAAAAAAATAACCACGATGGCTAAGGCGGGAGCTTCGCTGCGCTGCGCTCCCGCCTTAGCCATCTAACCTAACCCAATGAAGTCCGATAGTGCCAACTCGGAGTAATAGATTGCTATTAATTACCTAAGAATTATGTCCTGTTCTTATCTATACATTTCCTATAAGACATAATATATAAAATATAATTACCTCGATTGTATTTTCTTTTTCCAAATTTAGATTCATCGATCTGGACTATTTTTCCGGGGCCACCAATCTTTCCAACTATTTCATTTTTGTCAATTTGGTATGCCACAATGGTTTCTCGGCAATAATTATACCAGTCACATACTCGTATGGTGACCCGGCCCAGGCACCTTTCAAAATGTTCCTTGTAGGGATCTTCATTTATGACGTCGTTGTAGCTCCATTTTTTTTAATATGCATATAATAGATAGAAAACATGCACCAAATCAATTTTTATATTTTCAAAAAATGTCCCGTTATTGCGTGGTATTTTAGTTCTTTTTTTTTTAAAGACAACTGCCGCACTAGGAATAAATCCTGTGCCGCGGGGACTTTACAAACATACATGAAACGGACACAAAGTACACCCAGACTCAGAACAACAAGTTGTGGATCACACAAAGTGTCGTTCCATGTGGGGTTTGAACCCACAACACTCGACGCAGTAGGATGGGCGTGGCGACCGCTTAAACCACTACGTCATCCGTGCAGATTTAGATTTACAATTGCCTTTGTTATATTTGTAGTATGAAATAAAAGATCTAACGTTTATATGACGACATCTTGTTTTATTGTTATGTCTGCAAACTCATTCTCGCTGGTGTTGCCACAGCTCACACCTACATGTATTACATTCATATCGAACATCCCCCCTTGTATGACAAGTAGGATAAACAGTAACACACAAGTCTCTGTTAAGTTGGCACTTATCTTAAACTTAATAAAATTACTTTTAAACATAACAAAAGGTTACAGACTAAGAATAGCCATCTTAATACACACAATAATCTTTAAATAGTTAATCACTGACATTAAAGTCAG